ATTTCAAAGCCAAATGTCCCCGGTACTTCCTCCGCAATGCACAATGATTAGTCGCGATCCTTTGTTTGCAGGCATGTTAGGCGTACACATTCTCGAAGCATCAATTGGTCATGAGAGTCAGAATTTTTTGAGAAGCTCTTGATGTTGAGTTTAACATATGTTACAGTTTTATAAATGTAGATCGATGGTACTGTCAGTAATTTAAACTTTTTAAAATGATTCCTACACGTCATTCGGAAATCTAAGCCAAAGATTAGACGAATTAGTCTTTTTTGACTGATGAAAACTCTGCGAGCGTTGACCGTACTTCCGTACTTCCCCATAGGACAATATTATAAGAAATATGTGAATATGAGAGAGCATACGACACATTTATTAATTGCTCTATCTCTTGAATTCATAATTGTACTGCATATTACCAGTTTTCTTGTACTTCTCGCGTAGTTTAGCTTTCTTTTTGATATTGCAAATACTCTCGGGTGTATACCATTTGGGATATTTATGTTTGAACACTTTGAAAATAAGAACATGTGAATCAATATTATTATATAAGACATCATAGAAATTACTAACAGCTAAATTTACATCATCACAATTCCAAAAAAAAGACCAGTTCGTGGAAACTAGCCCATCATATAATGCAGGATAATCGGCTCGTTTGAAATTATAATTTTTTTGGTTTTGGTTATCATTTGGGTTGAAACTAGTTTCGTTATTCAAAAAATTATTAAAATCAATAATTAGAGCTGGATGATGATCCATATCTTCAGGAACCATTGGAGCTCTGTCTCTTGTCACCTCACATTTACTATTGAAGCAATAAGATCGAATTCCTCCTGACTCACAGCAGAATACAAAGCTTCACATTTTGAACGAATTCCGCGAATATTTTGAAATTAGCATGGGTACTGTTGGGCAGTTCTAATTTTTGCAACAAATAAAGGAATATTTTTATATCTTATAATCAGGTTTGATTCGCCATCCTGTATACGGTCATTTAGTTTGTCACAAGTTTTCTTATGCAATTCATGTTGCTGTGTGGTTTTATCTAGGGATAATCTCATTTTATTTTTGAATCTAGAATTGGTTTTTTATTTACGAGACTAATTTTGACAGGCCGTTTTTTTGCAGAATCAAAACAGCCCAGTCGAATAGGTCTTAGTTTGTATATGTCATTGTTGGGTTGAACGATTGTAATGATCTCCGACACTTCAGCTCTGTCACTGTTTCTTGTCATTCTCTTCTTGTTCATTTTGATCATGATCAGAAACATTTGACTGATATTGCGTTTGGTTCACAAAAACAAAGAAGACTACTATTTCTCCAAATCATTTTAAGACATAAGAACGAAATGAGGATGATTAACTCTAATGCACTGATGTTTTATCAATAGAGTAAACAAAACCAATCATTTTACTAATGGTGGAAGGAATGTCATTTTTATGAAACCGTAGAATGGGATCAAGTTCGGTGGGATGGCAATTCCATTTATATAGTGTGACACACTTAAGATGAAGATACTCCTGTATTTTAGTCATTTTTGAAAGCTGATATTCGATTTTTGGTACCAGCCGAGCCTACTCCGAGTGACAGTATCAATCCCAGCCTACTGCGTTCCTGCGAAAAGGGCAAATTCTTGATAGTTTGCTTCGCGTTGATGAAACCGAAATAAGTTATTTAAAAGTTATTTTCAAACCAAGTTTGACCCTACATACCCAATTTCAACGCAAAATTCGAATTTTGAAATAGTTTTGGAAATTCTCATATTCAAGTCCGATTTTCAATCAACGATTCCAAACAAGAAACTACGAAAATAATAAATTCGTCATAATGTAGGAAGAAGGCTTCAAAAAATTCGCCACCATACAGACCGTTTCTTTTATCATGCGGTAACATTGCTATATTCTAAACCGAGGAGTGTAATAGTATTTATGTGGGATATTGTTGCCGAAATTTCTGAAAACGAACATGAAAGGTCCTTCATACTAAGTAAAAATGTTTCGACGTTTTCAAACCAATCTTTGGAATGTAACCACAAGTTCCCTAATCTAAACAATACGGACATTTTGCACTAAGTAAGCAAGGGTTGGACACTCAATTATTTGGAATCCTGCTAAATGATCGAATGGATCTAGTTTACTCATCGGTTTTCAAATAAACCTATCCACATTGTCACAAGTAAACACAATTCAAGTACTCAATCGAGTTAAGTACCGTGGTGTTCACAATTCTTTTCAATATATTGTGTTAGTTGACAAATGCCCTCATAGTACGAAACTGCAGTAACGTTATTAACAAATAAAAGTAGTGAAAAAAACAGAAAGTATTTTTTCTCATTTTTCATGATGATCTCCTACTACGTAGTAACGGCTAAATCCATCAATTCATTTCTGTAGATTCTTACTTGGATTCGTTAATTGAAAATCGGACTTGTATATGAAAATTATAAAAAATTCGAATTACAAATTTTGGGTTGGAATTCTATGTCTGTACTACAATTCGAATGTCTGTTTTCATAAATGACAAAAATACAGGGGTGTCTTCATTCTATTCGTGTCACACTGTATAGAGTAACTTTTCGGAAATTGATTTCTTCCTTTCTTTCTTTGAAAGATCCACACATTTTTTTGCATCAAGATGGGGGAATAGAAAGCCATAACCTTTCTTTCCCAAAAATTGATCTCACTTCTCATAATATTATTCAGATTTGATACTGAAGAGCTGATAAGGGAAGTGTTTCACGGCAAAACATCCGATGTCTAGCAGTGAGGATGACTTCCATGTAAGTGAAATTTCACATCTTTCATCAATTATATTGTGTATACATCCTGTGAATGATATCTGATTCGATCCCATACGAATGTTTGGAATGCAAATGGAATAAAGAAAAGTGTTTCTCGTATGATTCAGCAACCATATGAGAGTAATTGTTTCGAAAGTATTTTTCTTTCGTGTAATTCAATTTTATATGAAAGTAGCTACTTCGAAAGGGCTTTTTCTTCCAGTTCGTGACTAAAAGCTACTCCTTTGCATGATCTATACATTCTTGTGTGGAGTTGCTTTATCTGAATTGTTTGCTTCCTTCCTTTCTTTGGAGAATTACTACTATTTTTTTTGTATCAAAACCTTTCTTTCGCGTATATATTGTTATACAAAGTGTCTTCAGCTATAGTTTCTACGTCTTCGAGGTCTGAAAAGCAATAAAACCAAAAATGATTTCCCATATGGATTCCTAAACGGTAATTTCCAAACAGTACAGTAATTTCCAAAAAGATTTTCAGCTCTCCTACATCTGACAACATTGTGCAGCCGACCACTCAATTGTCCTTATTATGACTTCTCTTGGAAGAATTCGTTTCTACGTCGGCTCAGGTCGCAACGAGAAACCCACTAGCCGGCATATTTGACCTACTCGCGGTGCACTCAGCTCAGCTAGCTGATAGGGTTTTTTCTTCCTGGAAACGAATCTTGCTTTTCATTGCGGCTTCAACGCGAGAAATGCAGAAATGCCCGGATCATGGAGAACTGGGTTTCCACACCAGGTCCTGGAGGAACTCGCAGATTTAGGACCCTCTGGAGAACTAGCACTCGCCGCCTCTCTGGCGAATCAGCGGCAATCAGTCTCAGGACTAAAGGTCCACAGCACAGCTGGGTACTACATCAGAAGGGTGCTTCGAAAGTGAATCGTGTCAAGTGCTGTCTTAAGGTTTGTTCTGGTTCTAACAGGTTTGTTCTGGTTCTACGAAATTCAGGTTCTAGAACGTCAGGATCATGCGAAGTTGATATACAGCGTTCTGGTTTATTGAGGATAAGTTCGAATTGATAAATCCTTTGTTCTGGTTTCGACCAGAACCATAACAAACCTAACATCCGAAGCTGTTTGGAAACTGCGCAAGACATGATGCTCACAAAAAAATCTCAAACAGTCCGAAATAGAATCGGACACTTGGTTAAACCAGAGGCATTTTGAAGAGACCACTGTACCACCTATCGTATATATGAAGAGATGATGACGAGAAAATACTGTTGTACATTTCCATTTTGTTATGTAGCGTATACTTGCAATCATTTTAAATGTTATCCTCAATCATCAATTATTTCAATCAAATAAAAAAAAACATACTAGAAAATAGTCCAAACAAATTTTCACATGAATGCGCATGAGCAACGGGAACAGTTCTCAACAGTTCAGCCTCAAGAGCAAGAACGATTCGGGACGGTTCAAGACAGTTTAGGATCATTTCGCAGTCGAAACCAGAACAGAGGATTCATAAATTCGAACGTATCCTCAATAAACCAGAACGCTCTATACCAACTGCGCATGATCCTGACATCCTAGAACCTGAAATTTGTAGAATAAGAACAAACCTAAGGAAAAAATTTCTAGTCAGTCAGTCGTTGCTGGGTCTTTGGGATATAATTTCCGTTCTCGCACTCAGACGAAACGTTTCGTACTACCAGTTCCATTCGACCGCCGCCTACCAACCCGAATTTGTTATCTCTAAACTTTGCTCCAATTCAGCATCCTCCCAAATGCTAGTTGCACACACACCAATTTTGGACGGCCGACTTTGTACCGGTCGTCCAAATTCCAATAATGAACAACATGTGGGAACGGGACCTGGCACACACGCCGCGCCGACCGGTGATCGTCGCCGGTAAAATACCGGTGAGCAGCCGTGCACTGCCACTGTATCGCCGGCAGTACCGGGAAGTAGTAGCGTACATGACTAAATACACTCTTGCATACTCACCGGTTTTTTACCGACTATTCCAGTCTCGAATGCTCGGTGAAATTGTAGTTACTACGCATTAACTTCGTTTTGGTAGTGCGTGCTAATTACGACAACAAAGCAACTGATTGTTTGATCGATAAAAATCCGCACCCGTTACCAATAAAATATCGGCCGATTTTATACTGGCCGTCCAAAATCGGTGTGTGTGCAACTAGCGTAACTTTAACAGTTAACGTGATTCTTATGCATAGACTTAAATTTCACTAGTTCTATATAATCGAAAAATAAACTTTGACCTTATTGACAGCCATTTTCGAATGTAGGTGGTGTCTACATGCGTCAAGCAAATTTTCTACACTCCAATTTCTGACCAGACAGTAATACAGTATAAGTAAGTAACTGGACAAGTTGATTGAAATGAACTGCTTTCATGAATTCGTTTATTAGAAATCTGTTGAACAAATTTTTCTGAAGAATAATAATTTACAAATATTCACTAATTCACATCTCACTCATCTAGTATTTGTATATTTTATTAATGCCAGTGCTCTGAAAATTTCGAAAAATAAATTAAAAATCCGCTGAGTGTGCAAGCACCCGTTACCAATAAAATATCGGCCGATTTTATACTGGCCGTCCAAAATCGGTGTGTGTGCAACTAGCGTAACTTTAACAGTTAACGTGATTCTTATGTGATTCTATCACATCTCACTCATCTAGTATTTGTATATTTTATTAATGCCAGTGCTCTGAAAATTTCGAAAAATAAATTGACAAGAGTGTTACTCTTCCAAAAATCAATTAATTTTTTGTTCATGGAAATTATCGGTTTTTGGTATGAAAAACTCTATACCAAATAAAAACTATGCGGCATACGTTTTTTTACCTGTTGAATACTGTCTATATATTCTGTATCTATATATTTCTACATCTGAAAACTAAATTGAAATGTTACTCACTTTCCTCTAAAAATAAATCGAAAGTTTCATCCAGCTCCTTGAAATAATCACCATTGTAAATCTCTGCATAAATCAAAGAACAGAGAAGTTTTGTTTCTTGGTCATATACTTCTTTATTGATTATACATTTTCTTGCTTTGGCGAGTTGTAACAAAAGTAACCTGAAATAAATTTATCCATGTTCAGATTTTGATATCATCCCACAATCACTACGTAGTATAAAACAAATCGCTTTCCGCTGTCTGATTCCTATGTATGCTTAGATCTTTAAAACTACCCAACGAATTTTGATGCGGGTTTTCAGTATATACAGAGTGATTCAAAATAAAGATTTATTTATAACATGCACTGATAATTTCAGAGGTTTCTAATGTGATGTTGTAAAAAAATAACATTTTTTTGCGCTAACATTGCGAACGCTGGCTGTACCCTACGAGATAGATCAAAAATGTACTACAGTATTGTACACCTTGAAAAAGTCTACAAAAAGTCCGCGATGGTATATGTCTATCTCTCAAGGATAATCCAAAATAATGTTTTTTTGTCCTCAAGAAAAAATAGCTTACTTACGAAGCGATATCAGGCAATACAGCATTAATCCTTATCCAATTAATTATCCTGAAAACTGTGCATTTTTCTGGAACATAGTTCTGGATACCCTGATCAATCATCTCAACAATAATGGATTCTACACAATTGCATATGCAGATGACATAGTTATCTTGCAGACCGGCAAATTTGTAAACACACTGTGCGATAGAGCGCAGGATGGGCTCAAATTGATAGAAACATGGTGTAAGGAACACTCACTGTCGATCAATCCCAAGAAGACTGAGATGGTCCTTTTCACCAGGAAAAGAAGTTTATCGGGCTTAAAGCCTCCCGAAAATTTCAAAAGCAAACTTTTCTGAAGAGGTGAAATACCTTGGTACTACCCTGGACAAGAAGCTAACATGAAACTCTCACCTACAGAGTAGAACAAAAAGAGCATATGTGGCTTATGAGCAATGTCGGCGGACAGTGGGATGCCTGTACGTTAAGGAGATTGCGATAATGTCCATATTACGATTACGCACGGCTGGTGTAAACCTCGAACTAGGAATGGGTCAATTGAGGCTGATCCTATGGCGATAAGCGCTCACTGCGCAACCTCTGCTGCAGGCATCCAGTGATGCAATTGAACCCAGGTTTGTGTTTAATGATTAGATTAGATTAGTTTAGATTTTTTGTTTGAAAGGTGATTGACAATGTTTCATGATGAATTTCACTAGTTCGGACTTCCATTGTCTAATATATAAAATGATCAGAAAGGCGTCTAGTTCAGTATTCCCATGGTTCCATATTATGAAGGTGTCGTCAACTTATCTCAACCAGACTCGAGGTGCCTTGTGGGCTTCTTCAATGGCCAGAGTTTCAAACCACTCCATATATATGTTGGCTATAACTGGTGAAAGTGGCGATCCCATTGGCAGTCCCTCATCTTGTGTAAGGAATTCGTCCTTAGGTTGGAAATAACAGTTTCGTACACAGCATCCTGGTAATTCCATAATTACTTCTATAGTTAGATTCGTTCTCTCTTTCAGGTTCCCGCCCTCGTATAGCTTTCTCTGTATGATTTGGAGACCTTCTTCGACCGGAACGTTGGTGTAAAGGCTTCCCACATCGAAACTAATTAGTTGATCTTCCTGTGTGACTTCAATTGACCCTAATAGTTCGACAAAGTGCCTTGAATTCTTCACAAAGGACGATGTTTTTCCTTGTAATGGTTGTATTGAGGGAAGTAAAAATCTAGACAAGTTTTGAGTAGCCGAATCTCTGGAGCTGATGATCGGTCTGAGCGGAACGCCTTTCTTGTAGATTTTGGGTAGTACATACAAGTGAGGGGACTTACTGTGGTGCGGTGACTTTTTTTTGCTTAATATAATTTTTATTTTCAGCTATTCATTTTTAATTCTCCTCTTTCAGGTGTCTCAGGGATTTCAAATCATTTATCAAATCAAATCAAATCATATATTAGACAATGGAAGTCCGAACTAGTGAAATTCATTAGATTTTTGTTGGTCAAGTTATTACACTTTAGTGCTATGACAAGTCAATAATGTATAAAATGAATGTTAATTAAAATTACCGAAAAGAAGTAGGTAGTACATAAAAATTGTATATGATACAAGAACAAAATGAAGTAAATAAATATATAAATGTAAAAATGATAATATGGAAATGAAGATACAGATATATAGATACATAGAGACAGTACCTACATTGACGATAGTCACTCTGTAAAGCAGAAGTCAGGCGCATCATAGTAAGCATTCTCTGAGAGATGTTTTTTCAGTTTCCGTTTGAAATTAGCGAAGGTTGAATTTTTCATTGATTGGGGCAGTGAGTTGTGCAATGATATGTATGAGTTACATCTCCTTGTTATTTCTAGTCTTTGGTTTGGTGCTCTAATATTATCCTTGTTCCTAATATTATACGAATGGTTGTTACCGTTTGTAGTAAACATTTGTAAATTTTCTTGAATGTGTATCAAATTGCAGTATATTACACATGATGGCAGAGTTAATATATTGAACTTAATAAACCAACTCTTACAGCTCTCCATTTGACCTATTTCAGCTAAAGCTCTGATTGCTCTTTTTTGAATTTCAAATATTCTCGAGATATGAACAGTTATGCCCCAGTTTATCAATCCATAAATTAAGGAACTATGAAACATTGCATGATAAGCGGTATAGGCAGCTTCATAACAGACTTTATCTTTTATCTGTCTGATTGCATAGACCTTCCATGATAAATTTTTTGCTAGTGTGTCAATATGAACCCTACAAAATACAAATGAAACAGAACACTGAGTCAGATGCTACAAATGCAATACTCAAATATACAGACGGCTCAAAAGCCAAAGAAGGCTCAGGATGTGGAGTGTACTCCAGATCACTAAGGCTAAGGATTCAGTGGGGAATGGGAAAAAATACCAGCGTGGTCCAACCAGAACTGGCTGGTATCTGAATCGCCACAAAAAAAATAACCAGAAAAGGAATTTCAGGCAAAAACATAACAATCTGTACAGATAACAGACAAGCCCCATTAGTCTTGAATAGACAACGTGTTACCTCAGGGCTAGTACTAGAGTGCCACCAAGATTTAGCCAAAGCCTCGGTAGATAATAACATTATCCTGAGGTGGGTTGAAGGGAACGACAGGAGTAAAAGTAATCGCATTGCCGACTCTTTAGCCAAGGAAGCGGCTGGACTAAGAATTTTAGGACCCAGTGGCACCTACGGCCTGATGACTTCGACAATTGCGGAACTAGCCAAACGTCACACCCATGCTCAATCCCTAAAGAGATGGGATGAAATCAAAGGATTCAATCTTGCCAGGATCACCCTGGGCGACCGCGGGAAGCTGGCGCCAAAGAAAAATCTGGCGATGACCAGGAAAAATATACGCTCAACAGTAGGATTTCTGACTGGCCATTGTCAACTAAGGAAACACCTCCAAACTAAAAATACATATTAAAATGTTTGTCCATTTTTGAGTCTACTTTTAACTGTAATATCTCAGTAAATATTCATTAAATTCAATCGAAATAAGGCCATTTGAATCAGTACACTTTTGCCAACTTAACACAAGTTGATTGATAACATCAACATGAATATTGTGTACCCGAGATTATATGAAGTCGACGAAGTCTGTTATTCCCAGGTTCCACTAAATCAACTGCAGGGAGATTCCATGACTAGCTGGAATTATATTTGTTTGGTCATTCACACTGTTCTGAAGAGACCATCCCCGGTACTGATGATGGGGCAAACACCTCGAACCCGGTCTATCGGTTGGTCAAATCGACCAAACGAAATTAATTTCTGCTTTTCATAATGGAAAATAACTTGCGACGAATCTTCCAAGTCGAAGACGTTGCATAGGTGCCTGATGGTTTTACTTCAACTCTCTGCGCGGCATTAGCTGGGTTAGTTGTTGTTTTTCCATTGGGTATCTGCCACACGTACTTACAAATCGTAGGTCTGCATGAGAAGAAAGGGGCAACCTTGAGCAAGTCATAATGCACCTCTCTGGAATATTATTTTTCCATACATGTTAGTTTTTTAGATTTACGGAACTGGAAAATCCAATTTTTCTCATTTCAGTGATATTATCGATTTTTTCTCATATGTCTTGTACTGACAAATTATCTACCCTAATCTCTTTTAAACTTTCATTAGGTATTATAATAAAATACATTAGATAAGTACTTACTTATGAGTCAATATGTAACCAGAAGAAAATCGATCCATCTCATAATATGTCTTCCAACAATCTCCTCTAATCGAACACATTCTTGGCATTATTTTTGAAGTCCAGTTAGCTATGTCTTGCAGACAAAAATTCGAGTTTGGGAACTGACTGTTTCTATCGCCAAATCGATGAACATTGTCCAAAATTCCATAATTTGGAATTTTTGAAAAGGAATATAAATCATTATACTTGTAGACTAAATCTTTCATCCATATATCAACATTTAGGAGTGATGGAACCACTGAAACATATATATTGCTGTAGATTTGATGAATAAAACGTAAACAATGGTTTACGATTGAAATCAGCTCTTGAAGCTCCAATGTAGAGAATACAAAATAGAGGAAATTCAGAATTGTTATCGATAAAAAGTATTTTTCCGCATAGACTAGAGTACTTTATTTGACCATTTTACATACAGTTGTACATTTATGGCAAGTCACAAATACAGATATCCTTGATCAGAGATAAAATTCATCCACTATGAAATACAGCGTGACTCACGGTCGATGTAGGTTGCCACTTCTATCAAATAGTCCTAGCAATTATATTTTTTTTAATGGAACACCCCGTATATTAATACATTTTTGGAATCGCTCTAGTATTTCTATACTTTTTTGTTGATAATGTCCTATACCTATCTCTATCTGTTTTCGAGATAAAAAATAAATTGTGCCAAATATTTTCTAAAGTGTTCTTCNTATACGTTATAAGAAAAATCATAAATATAAAATCTTTTGAATATGTGAAGTCACTCAGACTTCACAGATGAATGAAGATGATTATAAAGATTTAAGTTCAGTGAATTTCTTTGACTGATAGTCAGATTATGTCTAGGCAGGTTCAATAAACTTGCGGACCTCCTTTCATATGCATGATTTTCACCATGTCTTTCAAATTTGTCAACATTTTCATGAATCTCCAGTAACACTTCATAGGCATAGTGTTGGAAGTGGTATAATGCCGAGTTGAATAAAATGACGACAATGATCTTTGTAACCTGCTTCAGCTAAAATTATTGTGACCTTTTTCTGGCACCTAAACACATTTATCGAGTTACTTGAATGACCCCAAATGATAATACCATAAGAAATAACTGAGTTAAATAATCGTCATCAAGGTGACCATATCGTTCAGTCGCCTTAAAACGAACAAAACAGTGGAATGTTTGCTGAACATAGCTTTGATATGATCAGACCAGCTCAATCAATGATCAATCTATGACTTAACACTTTTAGATGGGGGAATATTGCGATTGGAAGATAGGATTATATTTTGAGTTCAATCTTTATTCAAGGTAAGTTTGTTAGCATCAAACCAATTGTATGCTAATGTTTTGCTATCTTTCATCATTAGTTGTAAGCTAGTCTTTACTAGAACACATTGAAGTTGTATCATCTGCAAACAAGATACATCCTGCTGTTTTCATGAGACTACACAGGCCATTGATGTAGATCAAGAAAAATAGTGGACTTAAAACGGATCCCTGAGGAACACCATGATTCATTTCTTTGAGGTCTGACTTTACGTTGTTCACTTCAACAAATTGGCACCGATTTGTTGGACGAGCTTGAGAGCTATGCCCCGGACACCATAGTAGCTCATTTGTCAATCAAAATACTATGCGATACACAATCAAATGCCTTAGTCAGGTCATATAATGTCAAAGAAGAGTGCTTTTCCTGATCAAGACCTTCGACCTTCCCTGATCAAGTGTTCGACAGTAGTTTGAAAGCCGCTTGGGTAGTTGACCTATTTCTTCGAAAACCATACTGTGAATTGTTGAAGTAGAACCGTTTTTCAAAATAGAAATAAAAACGATTTTTCAAAATTGTCTCAATTATTTTCCCAAATATAAATATTATGCTAATTGGGCGATAATTATGCGCTGAAGATCTAGAACCTTTTTTGAATAAGGGTATTACTCTTGAAATTTTAAAAAACGTCTGGAAATATTCCAGTTGAAAAGATTTCGTTTATCAGTAATGTAAGTGGAGCTGCTATTTAGGCTATTTAGGTCGTGTGTATCGCGACAGTTGCTGTTTTTAAGAGACTTTATCGTATCAACACACTTGAAGACACACAGGGTCCAGAAAAAAAGATTCGCAGGGCGAGGGAAAGTTTTTGTAGTTATTTATTTCATTGATCGAGAGATCGGTAAGAGCTTTAATAGTATTATCAGCTATACTGCAGAAAAAGTCATTCAAGCGTTGTGCTGATAGCTGTACTGGTTTAATTGCATTAATAGGGTTCCATTCACTGTTTATTATATTCCAGCAAGCTCTGGAAATATTAGTGGAACTCAATATAAATTTTTCATTTACTTCATTTTTTCGTTTTTTCAACTAGATCTTATAATCTTCATAGCCCTGGATGCAGTCGTATAGTATGAATTTCGTGACATATCTGCTGTGACTTTTGCTGCTTCAAGATTATTTCTCATGTCTTTAAGTGTATCATCGAACCATGGTAGTTTCAGGTTATTTTTTGAAATTTTATGTTTCTTCAGGGGAAATGATAGTATGATTGAATTTTCAAAAATATTTATAAGGTTTTCTGAGAACCGTGTCACACCAAGTTAGTCGATATCCAGATAACAAAAATTTACCGCTAGTAGATGATTTCTGAAATCTGTAAGTCCTTTTTTTAATACAAAAGGTGTCAATTCTGTCTGTATGAATTTCTGGCAACTCGTTGGTCATTGCAAATTGCCCTTTGTGATCAGATACACAGGGGTCAAGAACACCAGTGTCATATGAATTTTCAGGTAGAATGGTAATTATATTATCTATGCATGTGGATGATTGTGCAGTGACTCGTGTGAAACTATTGATAATTATTTTGAGACCATAAGAATCTAGTGAGCATTTAAGTTGGAAATGTGAAATTCTGTTAGACAAAAAATCTATATTAAAATAACCCAGTAATAATATTTTTATGTTGCTTTCCAGTAACTGTGACAGAAGAGCATCTAGGTTTGATAAAATGACATTGACGTCTCCTGTACATGATCTGTAGACACAAATGGTTTTCATATTGATTGTTTTAATAAAAATGCCACAGAATTCAGAGTCGAGTTCAACACTGTAAGAATTCAAGTCTAATATTTTTGAATTCTATTTATTTTTACAATAGATGGCAACTCCAGCATGTTTCATATTTTTTCTGGAGAAGTAAGCAGCTAAAAATTGAGTGGGTGAATTCAAATTTTTCATGTTTTTTTCTGTAAGCCAATGTTCTGACAAACAAACAATATCATATTCAGAATCATCTAAAAATACACGTAACTTCTCGACTTCATTGGATAGACACTGTATATTTATATGAAATAGACTTTTGTGTCAGTTGATAGTGTTAAGTTTTTTAACATGGGACTCACCAACTGACCCTGAGTTGATGGTGCAGTCCTCTTCACCTCATAACGCAACACCAGTGCTTTGCTAGGCCAAACTTCAGGTCTCCATGCTTTTTAAAAGTTTTCCTGATTGATCGTAATTTTCATTGATGAATAGAGTTCAGGGAACTTAGATGGGTGATTCGTGCACACTACCTCGGGAAAGTGTTTTCCAGCGTTTTCTTCAGAACATCAGGTTCAGTGTCGGATTTCAGCTGAGTTACGTGGAGAGAGGTAACTTTAGGCACAGTACTAATGTCAAGTATTTCCTCATTTCCGCCTATCATGACTCTTCTACTTTTCTTGAAACCTTTTTTGCCATTTTTCAACTCCAATTTCCAAGTTTTGCACATCGCGCACCAAATTAGCCGCTTCAGTCGTCATGATGTCTGTATTAACTTCATCTCTTGTTATAATTTTAGGACATGCCTGGTTATCTTCTTTATTTGAGTCCTTGATCCCTGAACTATAAGATTTCGAATCTGGTTTTTGTGATGATGACTCAGGACTATGTACAGCTGGTGTTTTTGGAACCGGAATTATATTTTTGCCTCTTCATGTTTTTTTCCATTGATAACATTTGTGCTGATATCGTTATTCTCTAATATACTAAGTTTTTCTGATAGAAAATTTACTTTATCTTTCAAAAAGCTGCAATTTTCATTCAGAATGTTACATTTGGATTCGAGTTCTTTCACTAATTGATGTAAAATTCATTTTCAATCTCATATGGACTTACTTCTTGATAACAAGTAGGTGTATGTGATTCGTTGTTTTCAATTTCATGCCGACAAGATGAACTTTTCACTTAGGCTGCCTGTACCAAGCACTTTGGATGGATGGTTGCTTTACATTTATGACACTTAACTGAGTTTGTCACACTTCTTTTGCAATATTTACACTCGCTTTTTAGCTCCGTAGTTAAAGACGATCACCTACGTCCGCCATACCTATATCAAAGAAGTTCTGACTTGTAGAGGAAACAGGCCTCATGACATTTGTTTACGTCAGCTATGAGTCTTTTGAAAACGTGAATAAGACACACAAAGTTAGCGACCCAGAGAATGTGATTTATTGAGGATATGTCGACAAAAAAATCAGACAAATAATGAAATATGTATTGCGTATAATGAGGGTTGCTATTCATATAACATATCTATACCTCCAAAATCACTAATTCGTTAGAAATTGAAAATGATTTCACTTTTTCTTTCGAAATATTTTTCGTGATCAACTTATAGTTTCCTAACTTTTTCTAATTATACCACGAAAGATAACACGTAAATCCGCGAATATCAAATAAGAACACTAGCACCACAGGAAAATCCTATGCCTATGCGAAAGTAGTGATTCACATTAGATTTGAATCGCTAAAGATCAAATCCATTTGGAAAAACGTTCTCAGGAAGTTCATTCCACATAAACGCAGTTCTCCATATGGAAGAGTTCTCAAACAGTGAGGTTCGAGGTGTACTGAGTTGAACCTCAAAACGATGAGCAGCCACAGTCCGTCGCGTATATGATATGTACCGCTGGAATCAAATGTGCCAAGTCACTTGAACACTTTCCGTGGAAGTAGCTATATAGCTTCCTTTGATTTCCAGACTATCAATATTGCAAGTGACGTTTGCGTCTCCAATCAAGCGAAAGGCTTATTCCTGGATGGAATCCAGCAGCTTCAGAATATGCTTAGGGTCGGAGCTCCTTACATAAGAGCAATACTCCAAAGGAGGTGTAATCTGAGCTTCATAAAGCATCAAAAGTTGCTGAAGTGTGTACAGTTTTCTAGCTAGGAAAAATTTTCCAAGCTTTTGAGAAGCAGCCTTTGCAATTCCAGTGACATGATT